GAAATTCATAACCCGTTGCCTTCCCACAGTAGGGACAGTTTCGTTTTGCTTCGGCTATCTTATCTTTTCTTTTTGGACATTGATGCAGATGGCGCACTATACTAGCATAGTTGGAATAACTTAAATTTAGAGTGCAGGAATCACATTTCCAACGTCCTGAAAAATAACACAGAACTAATTAAACGATGAAATTGGAATTAGTAGAAATAAAATATAAATATATGTTTCATCTGTGATTTAATATTTTAAAAAATTATTGAGATTTTATAATCAGTGATTGATGTCAGTTTATCAACGTACCAACAAGTTCTGGATTCATTCACGACCACAGCCTCCCTGATTTCATTTCCCCCAGACAATTGTTCCTCAGAATGGATTAACCAGTCCAACAGCATTTTTTAATGGACAAAAAGGCCGCTACAGAAGTTAATTTAGTGCTGCAATTTACATTAAAAGATGGCTGTTTAACGAGTTTATCTAGCTTACAGAATAACCCCAAAAAGTTGTACTTATAACATAACGACATCGAATAAGTTGATATAAGTTGTTGTTGTATAACGACATCGAAAATGAGTGCATAAGTTTTCAGAGCAAACAGGTTAAACAGTCTTATTAACAGGTTATTTCAAGTCTTTGTGAATACAAAAAGCTGTTAAATAAATTTAGCTGTTAAAATGTTTAAGATTATGCTCATAACTTGATTCCTACACTATCTCACTTTGCTTGAAAATTGTTTTTTTCTGCACTTTCTATGCAACATTCATGATCAACCTAGAAACACCAAGTACAGCGTGCTTTTGAAAAACATAGCCCGAATTAAACGTATTGTGAGACCCATTTTAATTGGCAAAAAGCTCATATATGTTGGTATCCCTGTCTTCTTTATTTCATTGTCAATCAGCTGATATGCAATGTTGCATATAATCTATGAGGTCTAGTGTAATTGGGAATTTATTGTAAATACAACACAATATGGCGCTTCCCAAAGTTCAAAGAGTGATTAGAAAACTTGAAAGTTATATTGATTTCATGCAAAGAAAGGTTTGTAATTAAGGTTTCAGGTATGATTCCAGTAGCTAAGAAATCAAGTATTTTTGACATGTGACTATTTTCACCCCACTCTCAATAAAACATGTGATTGGAACTTTTTTCATTTGTTTTGATTTTCTGTTTATATTTTGTTGTTATTTCGTCACCAACATGGCAACCCATAAAGTCCATGTTAATAAAAAAAAAATTAATTCATTTTTTGTGCTTACTTTTGAGCCTATTCTAATTTATAAAGGTATTCTGCACATCTACAGGCAAATATCTTTCTAACAGTATTCGTGGATTTTCCCTGCAATGCAAACGAGCTGAGAAAAAAGGTTTTAAATAAATAAAAACAATAAACATGTTTGCCTATTAACATATAGAAAGGCCTAAAACAATTGTGTTTGTTTTCTTGAATTTGTCAATTATAAACTGAAAATATTATCAATAACATTTTCATCACCTTTATTAAGTAGTCTCATAAAGAAATTAGAAACTTACCTCTTTTTATCTTATCCTCTGGTTGATGGCTTTTTGCAATTACAGGAACATTAATATCATTAGATACCTGTACTGTTTGCTTCCCTTTCACTTTCAAGGAATTTTCTTCAACTTTCTCTTTTGCCTTGACATTTTGCTTAACAGATGCTGTTTTTCTAGCTGTGTTTCTTTTGCTCTCAAGTTTCAATTCAGTATTTCCCTCCACAGATCCTAGATTTCTTCCAGTTAATTTTCTCTTGTACCTGCCTCTTAATGTCCTTTTAAATCCATGGCTAAATTTTTTGTGATAACTAAAAGTTTTGTCTCCTATGCAAGTGTATGAACAAAGTTTGCATTGAAAAAATTGATTGGTACTATTGGGCACTACTTTGTGCTTATTCAACTTATGACTGGTAATGAAAGGATAATAATTTGAACTAAAAGGACATAAGTCACACCAATACAGCCTACCGTTATTTTGCATTTCTTGAGATTGTGGTAATTGATCTTCACCATAATTATGAGTATCAGACAGCGTTTCCGCTTTGATGTATACAATTTCTGATTTGACAGGCAGCTCAGTGGAGAATGGGTAAGCTTCTGGTTCGCTCACTTCACTGTTCAGAACAAGCTCTTGCTCAACAGAACCAACAATCGAGAGTGGATCAACTTCTGGTTTGCTCACCTCACTGTTCAAAACAGGCTCTTGCTCAATAGAATCAACAATCGAGAGTGGATCAACTTCTAGTTCGCTCACTTCACTGTTCAGAACAGGCTCTTGCTCAACAGAATCAACAATCGAGAGTGGATCAACTTCTAGTTCGCTCACTTCACTGTTCAGAACAGGCCCTTGCTCAACAGAATCAACAATCGAGAGTGGATCAACTTCTGGTTTGCTCACCTCACTGTTCAGAACAGGCCCTTGCTCAACAGAATCAACAATCGAGAGTGGATCAACTTCTAGTTCGCTCACTTCACTGTTCAGGACAGACTGTTGCTCAATAGAACCAACAATGAAGAGTGGGTCAACTTCTGGTTTGCTCACTTCACTATTCAGAACTGGCTCTTGCTCAATAGAATCAACAATGGAGAGTGGTTCAAATTCTTGTTCGCTCACTTCATTATTCAGGACAGGCCGTTGCTCAATAGAATCAATAACGGAGTGTGGTTCAGCTTCTTGTTCACTCCCTTCACTATTCAGAATTGGGTCTTGCCCAATAGAATCAACAATGAATAGTGGGTCATCTTCTGGTTCACTCACTTCACTGTTCAGAACTGGCTCTTGCTCAATAGAACCAACAATGGAGAGTGGTTCAACTTCTTGTTCATTCCCTTCACTATTCAGAATTGGGTCTTGCCCAATAGAATTAACAGTGGATGGTGGTTCAACTTCTTGTTCGCTCAATTCATTGTAGAGAACAGGCTCCTGCTTAGTAGAATCAATAATAAGAATATCGTCTTCAAAAGTCTCAGATACAAAACTGCAACCATCGTCTACCACACTTTCATTGTCAGTGACAAAAACAGATTCTGCACCATTATCTACATCTATTTCAACAATATCTTCTCCGTCTTTGCTAGAATAGGAAAAACTTGTTTGTGTGCTCTCAACAGTGCTCTTCAACTCATTAGAAAACAGCAAAGTTTGTTTTTCAAACTCTTTTTTCTTTTGGCCTTTAGTTTTTTCAAATCCTTGTTTATCTTGGAACAGCAGTGTTTGAAGGTTCTTTTTGAGAGTAGCATTTTGAGATTTCTTTGTACTTTTGTTGATTTTACGTTCGTTACAGCCTGCAAAAAAAGGTATTGTTACCAAGATTCTCACAGAAAAATGATTATTCAAACAATGACGAACACAAGAGGACCTACTAAATAATATATAGAAAATATAATCTTTCAACAACCCAACCTCTCATTTATAAAGATCTAAACACAGAATGGACAGCCTAAATATTAATGTTTATGTGTAAAAATTATCCCTTTGACAAGATTGGTGTTGTTGCTTATCCCAATGACACACATTTAACTTTTTTCTGAAACAAAACAAAAACAACTTATTGTAAATACATTAATAAAATATATTAATTGCATATGACAATACATAATTGCATATGACAATTCACAAAAGTGCGTACTATTTACCTAAACAGCTATACAACAATCTAAATCTTTGACAAGGAAGATTAATATATCCTAGCATTAAGTTAGGTAAGTTATGTTCAATGAATTTCATGTCATGCAATTAAAATGGGAGAAATTCACTAAATAGGGGAGGATAGGGTAAAACACAAAGCCCAGTGTTCTTTTTATCTGGAACTGTTGATTGCATGCTTGTATGTGATTAATACTTCGAAACTACAGTAGTTGAAGCCTTTGACCAGCTATATTGGAACAGAAAGAATGACAAATTTTCATCCAAAAATTCAAAAATATACTTGTCCTTTAATTGGTTTCTAGCTGTTACAGCCTGTGTTCAAAGGTAGGACCAATAAGTGGTCACATAGCTTCTCAAGTGATTGGTAGGATTCGAACCAGGGAGACGTTAGAGCAAAGGTTTCACACTCAAACCAGTCATGCCTCCTCGGTAAAAGATGTAAAACAACAAGATGAATGTATAGTATAATAAGTGACGTATTTGGTTGAAGTGACAAAGCAAGTGTAGTCTCTCGCAAGTGCTGTGTTCATGAAAAGGAACTTTCTTCTTCTTCACATCAATCTGAATTTTATTGGTCAATGAATTTTTAGTGGTGTAACCACTGTTACCTAATCCATAGGCAAACAATTTAAAGGAACAGCTGAGCATTTGTTCTAAAATCATTACTAGAGTATGAAAATTTAGAAGTGTTGGATACCAAAGTAGACATCCCAAGGACCAGCTGTTGCCAAATTTTAGATAAAAAGGAACATAATTGCTTGAGCCAGTCGTAAAAATCCCCTAGTGTATAAAATTATATTTTCTATTAATATTTTGTGGCTGACATAGTGTATGGGTCATATCCTATGGCTCACAATAAGTTCATAAGTTTGACTTGTTAAAAAAGTTTGTGTACATTCTAACTTACATCAGCAAAATCTGTCATCGGCTCACATCAACTATGACAATTTTGATTTTAAAAAATATGATAAACTTATTGTCAGAAAAATGCAATAGATGTTCAAACGGTAGATTTCATGAGCACTGTACAGGTATAAAATAAAACTTTAGGCCTACTATTGTTTAAACAAACATATTATTTTGTTTTAAAACCTCCTACAAACATTCGATTCAGCATGCCAATTTGAAGCGAACAGGCAATCTGACAAACTAAGTAGAATGTGTGACTTTAAATGTTTAAATATTTTAAGTCTCTTTATTAAATACTCTTCTAAGTATTTATTAAATTTATGATGGTATAAAAATATTGTAATAGTAGATAGAATGAGAGTCAAAATGTATAGAGAGGAAAATAAAAAGCATAATGAGATATAACAAATTTCTTTGATTCCTCAATTTTCATAAAAATACAACAAATAATAGTAGTACAAATGTAGCAAAAGGTAATAGTACCAAAAGAAGATACAAACAAGCTTAACTATACTACATAATTAGTAATTAGTAACAATTTTATTTATCACAACAATACAGGAACTTGCAAATCTTTTCCTCAAGACATATAAAATTACGCCGACTGTATTTTATGATTAATATATAGATAATTGGTGGTTTTTTTAATCCAAAATCACTCATATAACGAATATTTAAAAGTCAAAATGTTGTATAACAATATTATTTATACTCTCTCACATTCTAATATTACAATAAAAAACAGTTTACTATTTTCTAATCTAGCAGATTTTGTTATCAATCTTAGGGCTTCTATAACACATGAAAATATATCTTCCATAATTCTTTTACAATGTTAACTTTTTTAGTCCTCGAGTAAAAAATTAAAGATCGCCTGAATGGATTTTATCAAAAAGAAATTACTACATTAAGCTACTTCCTATCGGGAAATTTGTTACATAATGATTCATATCTATCTAGTGAGTGAAAGAAAATATATTTCCCATTGTTGAGACATATAATCCATAATCTCATTATGGATTGTATAACAGTAATTGCTAGTTACTGTAAATACCTATAATATATACATATATATAGTAAATTACTGACATCATATAAAATAATGTATAATAAAGCTAGCCAATTATCCTGTATTGAGCGTTTGTTAGCTTTTGTTAGTTTTTTTCCTTTTTTTATGCTGACTACTCTAGACTCTACAATGTTATTTCTAGTATAACATACTAAAATATATAAACCATCAAAACTATTTGAAATTGATTAATACTACACCTGTTCTATTGACTTTTCACATATCACAAGGTAACAAATAAAGTCAGGATGAATTCAAGAACTATTAACTTTAAACTTTACATTGAGTACAAGTCTCAGTTAGTCAATTTGACATCTATCAATCGTTAAGGCACTTTCTTGAGTTGCTATTGAAAAACTTGATTTACTATTGGTTAAGAGAATGTCAAAATCATCCAGGAAGGCCAAATTTGGCATGTTATAGTTAAAGCCTGCATTCATACTTGTTACAACAGATGTAAATCAGACTTGTTTCTTAGAACATCTGGGTGGAAATCTATTACATGTTGGGCATAATCTTTGACACTTGTAGTCTGAAAAGTACAACTACTTGTCGGTTTAACATAGCAAATAAAAGGTTGCAAATTTCCTGTTTCCTTTTTTTGTTCATTCAGACTTTTGGAGATTTGCTCTTTTGGTAGGTTGGCATTTGGCTCTTTCTGGTGATTTTGAATGTTGTAATTTGGATTAGAAGTGCTGGGATTATAACACTGGGAGTTAACGTCAAGGTTTGAGGAGGTACTAACACGCTTCTGGGACTCGGACTTCTTGGAACCAAGCTGAGGAATGTTTTTCTGTTGGTTCTGACGCTTGTTGCCCTGGTTCTCGTGGTCGATTGGTCGTTTTCGGAAGTGGTCTTTTAAACTGACAATCTTGTTAGGACTTCTAGTGCCAAGCGGAAAGAAGCCAAATGGAGGAAATCTTCCTTGCTTTAGGCGCTGACTCATCAAGCTTTGTTTATTTAGTTTGGCTGGTGTCTTAAAATTCTCATCCTGGTTTTGAAGATTGTCAAAATGAATTAAGCTCTTAGGACAATCCCGTGCAACATGGTTCTTCATAGTTTCAAGTGATTGTAGTTCTAATTTGCAAGCAATGCACTGCAAAAATTGGTTATCCGGCAAAAGGTTCTTTCCTGTTGACTCTTCAGTGTTTTCCAAGGTTTTAGCTGAAACACATCACAAAAAAAAATTAAAAGATGGCATTTGTAATTTGAAACGGTTTATGACCAAAATTTAGAGTTTTTTTTAATCAGGTTTTCAAAATACATGGCAACAAGGGCCACAGTAGAGTTATACAAGCAGACGGATACAATTACAGACAACTTTAGGAAAAGGCGAGCAAGATTTTATGGTCACATTTATAGGATGAACTACAGCAGACTCACTAAGAAAATATTTAAATGAATAATAGTAAAATAAAATTAATAGTAAAATGAAAACTGCTTGGATGAAGGAAACGATGGAAGATCTCTGAAGAAGATATATGAAACAGGAGTGAGTACAGAGAAAAAATCTGATAACATAAATTCAAAGAAACACATAAAAAGAAAAGGATTGGAAAGAAGTGGACAGATGAAATTAAGAGAGAACACAGGGAATACATGAGAGGTGTTTGGGAAGAAAGAGAGAAAATACGGAAAAAGGGACCATGATGATGATGCTTGTGTTTTAGCACTCTCCTAAAGGGGAATTATCAATAATAATAATACGTTAAGGTAATTTATACGAAACAAATACTCCTCCGTTAATAGTGGACAGATGTTTTCAAACGATGTGTCCAATACCTGTAATTAAGTCCTCGGGCTTTGCCCCACAGGCTATCAAAATCCAAATGTATTTTTTACAAAGAAAAGATTTTGGTTACTTAAACAAACCAATAATCTATATAATTAATACGCTACATGAAACTTTGTCGGTTGAACTCCTCCGCCATTTCTTAACCGATTTTATCCATTGACGTCTCATTGGAAAGAGCGTGTCGCGTAGATTTGCAAACTGGCCTTACATTTTTGAAAAAGTCCCTTGGGCTCTGCCCCAGTGGCTTTGAAAGTTCCCATGTTATCCTTATGGAGAACTTAGTTGTTTACATTTTGATCAGCTGTATAATTTAATTGCTGTTATTTATTTTTCAATTCAAAGTCTTTTAAACTCATAGGACATTATGATGACTTTTATTTGTTTTTAAATAACTACTTTACTTCTTTGCAATTGCTCGATTTCGAGCAACGTGTTTACTAGTTTGTATTAATTACAGATGTTCATAGAAAACACATAATACCCACAAGAGCATTCGTTTTCAGTTTCGATAACTGGAGTGGAGTGATTGAAATTATTACATAATCTTTTTAAGTTATTGGAAATTATGACTGTTATTCGTTTTGAAATAACACCTGTTATACTTTACAATTGCTCTAATTAGAGCAACATGTGCACTAGTCCTTACAGGGTGATTGATATAAGTGTGCCAGTTATTTTATTCGAAAGTTATAAGAGATAAAACAAAATGTTAAATTGTAACTGCCTTGGATTTTTTATTTAAACAATTTTGGTCAAGTAGAAAAAATAATTTTAGCCACCATTTTTCCAATATGGCCGCCAACTGTGATTTTTCTTATGGAAGATTCTATATTTTATGATTGCTTTAGAAAGTTCTTAGCATTTTTTCTCTAAAGCTACTCGTTTAAGAGTTACAATGTGTTACAACTAAGAAAAAATGACACACAGTTTTCCTATTTTCAAATTTCCCTTCCATTTTTGAAAATGGTGGCCATTTTTTAAACAATGGAATCAGTATTTGTTACGTATGTTATGGTTTTAGAAATTTCTTTTTAGAATCTAGATGCAATTTTAAGACTTTTTTACTCTTTACATTTTCGCTCTAAACGTACTCGTTTAGGAGCTACACGATGCAGAAAGTACACCACAAGTCATTTTTTCTTAGTTGTAACACACTATAACTCCTAAACGAGTAGCTTTAGAGAAAAAATTCCAAAAATAAAAACTTTTTAAAATTGCATTTACTTTCTAAAACAATCATAAAATATAGGGTCTTCCATAAGAAAGTTCAAAGTTGGCGGCTATATTGGACAAATGGTGGCTAACTTGACCAAAAGTTGTTTTATAAAAAATCCAAGGCAGTTATAATTTAACATTTTGTTATATCTCTTATAACTTTTGAATAAAATAGCACACTTATATCAATCACCCTCTGACGGCGGTTTCTACGAAACTCTACTCCTCCATTAATAATTGACGGATTTTTAGAAAGAATGAGTTAAAATTAAGTATTATTTGTGTAGACCCCCCTTTCACCAATTCCTGTAATAAAAGTGCTCGGGTCACAGATCTAGGTCTTTCATGCCTATGTTAAAAGCTTATTCCCTAGAGGGAAAATTCACTAAAAGTCAAGAGTAAGCTTGTATTTTAGGTGTCAGCACATGACTGTCAGGGTATAGCTTTCAGTCATTTTTGCTGAGTTTTAGTTAGTTGAAAGTGGAAGTTTGGTAATGTTAATCTTGATAGAACTTTGGGGCTTACTTGGCTAAAAATCATTATATATCAAGTTTATTTGCTAACTAACTCACCTTTTGGTATGAAGATTTCCTGAATGTGGTATTTCACTCGATGGGCATTAATCCCACTCCAAGTGGACGTAATGAAATCACAAAATGGACATTTCATTTTTCTAATAAATCTGCAAGTGTGTGAACTTTTGTCCTTTATATTATCAGTGCACTTTTCACAGACTAATTTCTTTGCTGAAGGTTTAATAGACTGTAGACATTTCAAGGGTGATTTAGTCAAGGTCTTAGCAGTGTTAGTAGTTCCACTTGTTCCAGGCAGAAATTGAGAAGTCCCACTTGTTCCAGGCAAAAATTGAGAAGTCCCACTTGTTCCAGGCAAACATTGAGTAGTTCCACTGGTTCCAGGCAAAGATTGATTGTCATATTCATTAAGCATCGAACGTGAATTAGACTGCTTCGAGGTTGTGAAATTCAAATAAAAGAAATTATCTTTCATTCTACTCGTTTGTTGATCTGATACCGCTTCCGGCATATAAGAAGCACTGTTACATCCATCTAATCTAGCCGACTGCTCTAGTCTAGCTAACTCATCTAATCTACCAGATCTAATTGATTGTTTACGTGGAGTTGTATTTTGGTTTTCCACTTGATTTATTTCATCAGTAAGTGGGGAGTCTTGCCTAGTGCTAGCAATGTTAGTCACGGACGCATGAGAATTATTGGTAATTTCTGGCATAGAACTATTTCTATTCATGTTTGAAGTACGTCCATCTAAGCGAGCTAACTGCTCTTGTCTGAATAATATGGCAAACGTTTTTATACAACCTAATTTCTTAGATTGTTTACGTGGAGTTGTATTTTGGTTTTCCACTCTTTCTTTTTGTGGTGTGCATTTAGAAGTTGCTGGCTTTTCTTTTTTAGGTGTGCGTTTAGACGTTACTGTCTTCACTTTTTTAGGTGTGCGTTTCTTAACAACACCACTTTTTTTAGTCTTCGGTGGCTTTTTAATGATGGTTTTAGGATTCTTCTTTGTTTGATTTTCAAAACTTTCAACAGAAGAATGCTGCATATTATTATTCAAGTTTCCAAAAATATAAGCATTCGAAGGATTAGGCATTAAGTTCATAATAGCAGTAGAAGAAGGGGTGGATTTGGTTTTGGATGGTGATTTAGGTTTTCTCGAATCACTTTTGTGTTTTCTTGGACTCTTACTAGTTGACTTTTTTCTTGGCTTTTCCCCAGCCTTCTTGACTTTTGATTTTTTTACTTTACTCTTCATTAGTTTGAGACTTTGAACCTCTTTACTCTTACTCTCTGCTCTGTTTAAACTAATATTTGAATCCTGATTTATGTCTATACTAGATCTTGGTTCAAGCAATTCACCTATTGGTCTCAAAGAAAGGGTAATATTTCGATTAGGTAAATTCGGTTCTGGTTCTTGATTTGGTTCTACAGTATCTAATGAAATGTCCATCATAAACTCAGTTTGTATAGAGTCCATTGGCTTCTGCATGTCACTAGCTAAAAATTCATCAAGAGCTTTTTGAGCTATGATATCTGAAATTTCGTCAGCCATATTTTCCTTTTTCTGGACAACTAAAGTTTTTTCCAACATCTCTTCTAAAGGTCTTAAAGACAAGGTAGTCTTATTATTTTCACTATCTGATGATGGTTCGATTGGCTCGACTATCTCTAAAGGTTTTTGCACTGTTGACTCTGTCTGGGAAGATACGATATCAATGACCTCAGGCTGATCTTTGCTGCAACCTACATGAGCACCTTCAGGATTGTGCGAAAGATTTTGGGATGAATGATTTCCCTGGTTTCGTTGATTCAAAGCCACTTCAATTTCTCGATGCAAAGCTACCATTAGATTTTCTGGAAGACTTTTTCTCACAGATTTATTGTTATCATTCTTTGATTTTTCTTCTTTATCGTTATTAGAAGATGGTGTCACCTCTGTTCTTTGTTTATTTTCAACACAGCTGACAACTGGTGTCTTTGTTCCTTGTCCTGTAGAAGTGAAAGATGTTTCCATATCAAACCAAGGATCGTTGATGGTATATTTTTCTTTTGTAGAGTCATACGATTCTGTAAAAATCCAAAATGTTTTAGTAAATTGAATTTATTCTACACAAAGTAACACCAATTTTAGTTTAGAAAATGTACAAGTTAACTTATATAACCTCTGAAAGGTACGGTACATGTAAAATAGCTTATCAGATAATAATATACATAACCATAAAAAAGTAGTATTGTTATAGCTTAAAAATTAATATAACTTATCCTATTTTTATGTAAAATTAATTAATTATGTCTTATTTTACATTATCATTATATTTAATTAAAAATTATTGTATCTAATAGAAAAACAAAAAAAGGTAAAGAGTTGAAACAAAAAAAAGGGGTTGGAACTTTTTTAATGTTACAATTTTTACAATCCAAATCTAAATTTAAATAGTAGAAGAAAATTATTTTGCGAACATCTTGAAGAACAATTTAGATCGCTCCAAATCTGAAATTGTTTGAAGACTACAAGAAAGCCTGAAAAATAACAATAAACCATAAGTTACAATCTTGTGTTCAGCAGTTGTTACCAATTAAAATGCCACAAATATTTTTAAGACTGTCTTGGCGACATTTAAAATTGTTTTCTAATTTAAATCTGAAACCCATATAGCCACTCTGATGTTAGGAAAAATTAAAATGCTTCAGTTGTAAAATTTTGAGTGTACATCCGGAAGTTTTAGCAATTATAATTCATTTTTAATTAACGTTATTAATTTTAACCATAAAAAATCACTTTATAAAATAATCAAGACTAAGTGAATGAATTGTTATTTGCAAGCATTACCAGGTATTTATATTACCTAGATTAATAAATTATTTAGCATCAATTAACAGAACTTAGTATGTTACTTATAATTATTCTTTATTAAATTTTAAAGAATTAAAATGCCTAATTCATTTGGCACAGTTATTTTAATTATGGTACCACACACTTATCAATCCCTTGAGATGGTGACGCACATTTGGCTGAGTATTTAAAACGGAATAAATTCAAGGTGAGTGTAGAATGTGGTAAAATGGAGTAAGATGATCTTTGTAGCTTTGTTACTGTGAATATGATCAGCTGTTTCTAGAGTCGAGATCATTTAAGCCCAATGATCAAGCACAGCTGGGCTCAATTACGAACCATCAAAGAGCTACAATACTGGCGTTTCTAAAGATTGAACCGAGAACCAAATTATTGGTATTTAATGAACTTGGGTGTGAGAAAGTTGATTTGTAAGCATGTAATGGATTGGGAATTTTAAATTAATTTCTATTTAAAAAAATAAACTTTCCCAGCTATCACCTTCACCCATGTATTACTGATATTATAGTACTGAGATTATTTGAACACTTATAAACTTTTTAACTAATCACCAAGCAGTATGGGGCAAATTGATTAAATACAAGGTATTGAAAAGAACATTACAACTTTGACAACTTTTCTTTCTTTTATTTCAACTGAATATGAGCAATATGGCTTCCAAGTGTGATGCAGTAAGAGAAAGTTTTAGAAAAAAATCTATTTTTACAGGAATATATTTTTCACTATTTTGGTAAACCTTTTTACCACAGCCATGTCTATGAATGAAATGGTTAAATCTCTGCTGTAATAGGTGTTTAGCAAAAATCGTGTAAAGAAAGTGTTAACGACACAAGTAGAAATTTAAAGTATGAATCTAAAACAGTGCCTTAAAAACTTCTACAAGAGTCGTTAAGACTATTTACGCTAGTTGCAAACACTACTTTACCTACAACAGTTTTTCAATTACTAAAAATCACTACACATAACTTCTAAGAGAGGTTATATTTTTGTTCATAACCTCTCATTGCCACTGACAGTAATTTTTGTTCATAACCTCTCATTGCCACTGACAGTAACGCAACGAATCATTGTACCAAACACTAATTGCACCACTAATTAACAATTAAATTGGACTGAACAGCTGTTTAGTTGAAGTTTGATTACAATTTTCCTCCTTTTCAATCAATCCTTGAACCTCATTGGTCCGTTACCCGTGTTTTTAAGTAAAAAAAAAAAAAAACAATGCTGTTAAGTAAGTAAAAAATGCTGTTAAGAGATTTTTTTCAATTCTAAGAACTGAAGTGAAACGGCTAGTTTTCAAACGGTTGTAGGAAAATGTTGTTAAACACTCATTTAAAAACGGTGAATTATATTACTGGAAGAAAAGGATCGAATAACAAACAAATCTTAAAACACATTTATTTGATTACAAAATGTATATACAATATGGAAAAATAAACTCAATTGATTACAATAACAATTTTTACTACAATATTAATATAAACTACTTTCTTATGTTTGATATTGTATTTTAAATTAAGTTGATACTGTTGTCTTAGTAGAAAAGAAAGGCTTAATAAATTATTGTTTCAACAGCTGTTTGCAAACCGAATTATTTTAATAATTTGCAGATGATTGTTCTGGCAGAATTTTCTATAACTATAAATGTATTGGATCTTAAATAAATCACCTGTTAAACAATTATTTCATGGTCAAATTTGACAACAATTTTTCCCTTGTAGGTCTACATAATGTACAAAAAACATGTAGAAAACAGTTTTTATTTTAACCCTTAAAATAAAAATGGCAGCGTGACTATTATAGCCTAGTTGTAAAGGAATCAATGCAATTGAGGACAAAAGTGAACAAAAATTTCAAGCAGTTGCACCATGTAAGCGTCACAAAATTGCCAAGCACGGTATGTATAAAAAATCATAACAAGGGATATTACCTGTCTACAAAGAAATGGGTGATACCACTGCCATAGAAAGAGATTTTCAATATTCTGGTGCAATTATCATTTCGATATAGGCCTACATATGGAATTCTCAAGAAAGAAAACAATTCAATCATTTTTTCCTCAAAGTGGCAGTATACAATAGTTGGATTCGTAAAACACATGTTCTTCGCTGAAATATGTAATACACATAACATAGTACAGTAGGCATATCTCATTTGAAAGTGAATTTATTTTTCTCTTTTCTTCTCTTCGCCCATGAAATTCTTTTTTTTGCGGAATTTTACTTTTTTCCACATCAAAGGCATCTGGGGCTGGATTCAAAACTGCCAAAAGTGATTCAACCTTTTCTCAAGATCCAACCACTTTCGGTTCAAGGTACAGTAGAGGTCGTACGGAACGAGGTGAAGCTTGGAGGGGAATAGTGGTGTGGCGGGGGAAGTGTCGCTATTGTTGGCGACGATCGGCTCGTCTCCTACCCCCACCATGGATTTCCCCGCTTTAGACCGTTCCCGCCGAAAATCTCAGGCTTCACCTCGTTCCGCACGACCTCTAGCCAACTACAACCACTGGTAACTCACCTATTCCCAGTGGCAGTTCAAAGGGCATAAATTTTGCCATAAAAACATAACACAGATTTTTGGAGAAAAATTCCAGAGGTTAAAAATGGCTTTAACAAGTCACCGGACGGCTTGAAAATAGTAATTGTTTCATGTTTTAGACATTAAAAAGATTGTTTCACAGTTCAGAACAGAACAATATTACAAAAATTATCGCATTAAGAAAATCAATAACAAATTATCTAAAAAGGTTTTTTTTATTGATCAGCTAACTCGAATTATGCTTTAAATGCATTCTCATTTAACTGCCTGAAAGTAGTAATATTGTTTCTTCATAATATTGCCAAACGGCTTAATCATTTTCAAAATAAACTTATCACACACTTTTATTCTTCTAAGAAGAAGGCTAATGCCGAAATATAGAAATTTCTATAAAAGTGTGTGATAAGTTTATTTTGAAAATGAAAGTACAGTAGTAATAATGATACTAATTTGACTCATAATTGATGTAGAACAAGATGTTGCAACTTACAAATCTAAAACAGGAAATTAGGTATCAGAATAATACAAACAATCATTTCATGTTTAATTCAAGTTTTTATATACAACAATATACATGTGGTCATAGGCCTACTCTAATGTACAATAATTTATTATTTTATGTTGTAGAATAATAAATGTTAAAAACATTTATTTTAACACATTTTCACTCTTTACAAATTTTACAAAACATACAAAATATGTCATGAAACTCAAATGGACATTTTTGATAAATAAAGCAAATATGTAGCCTACTATAGTTTAGATACTAAGTGTTATTACTAAACATTTGACTATAAAAACCTAATCATCAGGCAGCAGACAAAGGTAAAGCTCACAGAAAAAGGAAGTTTAATGTTTTGTAACCAAACAAAATATTGAAATAAAATTACTAAAATACAAGAATATTAAACACTTTTTCAATACTTTAACAAGTTTGTATTCTTTGTAGCTACTGCAGTAAGCCTATTTGAAGCTGTTTGTATTATAATAGGCCTGTCCACCAAGATGGAGGTATCTTGTATTTTATTTTTTATCAGAAAGTTCATCAGCTCACTTATTATCCAATATCCACTAGTAGGTCTAATAATTAATGTACCATTTAAACATAAATATCAAATCAAATTAAACTACAGTATCAAATGATAGAAATAATGTTTAAATTTTCACTAAAACCATAGGTCTGAATGAAGTTTAATAAGACAATCAAACTTTTGTGCCAATAATTACTACCGGTACCTAGAAAATAAAGTATTTTTTTCCAGTCTGAAAAGCTGACTGTACTGGAATCTAAAATTTGTACCAAGGTATTTTGTTAATCAAATTCTATAGGAATATTTAGGATGTTCAAACAAATAATCACATTTTATCATCTTACCTCTATCAACGTGGATGACTCTTACTATACTCTTGAGAACTTCAAAGACTTGTTTCTGGTTGGCATTCCTTCTACCATAACATTCTAAACTTTCAAACTCATAATAATGTTACATGTAATAAATAACCACGACAAATTGAATTATCAACATTTAGTTTAGTACATAGTGATTAATGTTCAGCTAAAATATTACTGTTGAGCAATTGAAACGTAAAAAATACAGAACTGGAAGATAATCAAAATAAAACGATGATGATAAAATTTTAATTGAGTGACGACACTGTATGAAATATTTTTGTTAACATCTTCGA